CTATAATATTTGACGTCGTCTGCGAACATTTACAATACATCACTAGTTTTCGTGTACCACAGTCCTTTGTTTTATGATTGCATCGTTACAAATAGCTGAGAAACTTTGCTTATGGTTTACATACCAGAAAGGTCTACACTGCCGGCCCAATGGCTAAAAGCGTACACATTCAAGTTCGAGGAGGCACGGTTAAATAGAATCCGATCCGGATGAAACTTTGCATGTGATGTTTTTATGCAATATGGAACCATAAAATGAACTGCCTTTTTGCTTTTCAAAAAATCAGAAAATAAGTGTCACCCTACTACATATGTACTGGCTGGCTACAGACACCTTCAATCGTCCCGAATGGCCTACGTGATGACTATGTTATGGGTTCGGTATTGCTTCGTACTGACGGTAAATTTGTTAGAAATTATCATTCACACATGTTTCACTTTCTATTTCCAAATCATCGTTTTTACTAGCTGTCACAGCAGCTGTTTGTTCGTTTTTACAGGCGCTCGTGTTTATCCGCGGGCTAATCCTCATTAAAGTCCTTCATTAGACAGATTATCTACAACAATATCCCCCACAGACAAAGTTTCCGCCCCGGAAACTGATCAACCTCTGCAGGCCCGCGGACATTGATGTACCAGGTAAGACGGTACACTTTAGCACTTTACACATATGTACATTCATACATGAGCAATGAACACTTCAAACCATAGACATTACCTATGAACACAAAATGTACACGCCACTTCTGTCATATGACATCACCACTTAAAACAGGATGGAGATTACGTTTCACATAACAATACCATATCCACTTCAAGCCGAATCATCTCATATGAGGTCTTACTTAATGACTAGTGGTACCTAATGGGGTGTCTGACAGTTCGACCCGCTCTCGTGATTATCGACTTTGGCACATTTGGAGTCGCCTGAGTGACCAGGTCCTGCTGCCCAGAGGACTTGTCTTGCCGCGGCGCTTTGTCGCCATGTGGCCTTACTTGTTTGTCAGCTGACTGGGGATCAGGCCCGGTCTCGGTCTCGGTCTCTTTTCGACAGCTCGGCTGGTCTGAGCCCGATACAATCCAGCCGGGTGAGACTGGACAGACGCATCAGCCCGCTCGAATGCACGGACGTGCTCCACAGCGGCGTCCAACGTTGTGATTCTGGCCTTCGTAAGATCTCGCTGATACTCCGGGGGTAGCACTTTCTGGAGATGGATCCAAGTCAGCTGATCCTTAGTAGCCTTGTCTGAAACGGTGGGTAGGCGAACTGTACTAGATCCTCAATAGCGAGCAGGGTTTTCATCACATTTCCTTCATAAGCCACCGAATCTAGGCGGTGCGGTGGATGGCCACCATGGGATCTGGTATCCCTCCCAGTAGCTTCACCACTTCGGCGGAGATCGAGTCGAGTGTGGCTGCCGGGCACGCTGCACACACGTGTCGGACACATTCCTTTACATCACCAGAAACAAAGAAACGCAAGTTTGTCACAAGTTTGTCGGTATTCCACTTCTTCATCTGACCAAACAAACAGTAGTCCTCCAGCCATGATATCCAATCTTGTGCACTGCCGTTCTCAAACTTCTCCAGAACCAAATGGTCCGACATTTTTAACACCGCTGCCACCACTGTTATGGGTTCGGTATTGCTTCGTACTGACGGTAAATTTGTTAGAAATTATCATTCACACATGTTTCACTTTCTATTTCCAAATCATCGTTTTTACTAGCTGTCACAGCAGCTGTTTGTTCGTTTTTACAGGCGCTCGTGTTTATCCGCGGGCTAATCCTCATTAAAGTCCTTCATTAGACAGATTATCTACAACAACTAAATGCCATGACGTACCCGTTTCGAAGGCCTCTATGTTGCGGTGTCAGACGTCTTTACAGGAACTGGACTCTGTAGCAAAAAAAAAATGTTTTGTCTGGAAAAAATGATCTTGGTGGAGCATCTTGCCAGTTGCCATGGCAATCACATAACCTAATTTACGAATTAAGATCAGCGTGTTCTGAAACCAAAGAACGCCTAAAAGTAAAATTCCGGTGAGAACGAACTTATGGGACACCCTGAAGTCATGTAGGCCATCAGATTCCCATCATGGTTTTGGTGGCTACATGTTTTGCTAATCGGAATTTCCGGTGCCGTCATGACCTGACCTGACAGGTGTTGCCATCTTATCACGTGACCGAACCGAGTCGAGGTCAGCGCAGGGCAGCTAATTAATTAATTTATCAATTAATTAATGACATTACTACTGATAAATTAACGAAATTTATCAGAAATTGCTTAGAAAGTACACCAGCTACCATTTGTATGATTATATCATCCCTATGTATAGTTACTTTTCGGACTATTCTCTGGGATAATAATATCTAACTCACAAGTCCATATATTTCGGATATATATATATATATATATATATATATATATATATATATATATATATATATATATATATATATATATATATATATATATATATATATATATATATATATATATATATATATATATATATATATATATATATATATATATATATATATATATATATATATATATATATATATATATATATATTGTGAAACTTGGTAGGTAGGTAGGTAGGTAGGTACCACATAACTTGAAATTACTTGACGTAATGACATGATGTGGAAAGTGAAAATGATACCTAGGTATTGATGGAAATTTATGGACTTAGGTACGCTACAAGAAGATTGAATTGGTCAACCAATTCAAATTCAATCTACTTGTGGAGTAAGTCTATAGATTTTCATCAATAGTTACCAGTATAACGCCTTTTGTGGCGACTAACGGAGCGAGCGAGAGGGTGGGCCTTGCACGTGCGAAATTGCGAGGGGGTACCTCCAACTGACTTGTGCACGGCACCTTACTAACCGGTCTCTAGCGATGTGCCAAATTTGAGCACAATCGGCCCAGCCGTTCTCGAGATCTGGAAGCGGCACCCTGCACGTGCGCACGTGCAAAATGGGTCCCAACTGACTTGTGCACGGCACCCTACTAACTGCTCCGTAACCGTGTACCAAATTTGAGCGCAATCGGTCCAGCCGTTCTCGAGATCTGGAAACGACCCCTGCACGTGCGCACGTGCAGCAGCACCCCAACTCTGGCACATGGATATGCATTGCCTAGTGGGTGCCTACCTACATGCCAACTCTCAGCGCAATCGGCCCAGTAGTTACCGAGATATTGCAACAATTACAAAAGTGACACCTCTTCGTTTTGCACGTGGCACGTGCATAAGGGGTCACCCACATGCATCGGGAATAGTCCAATACTTGGTAGAAGGAATGAAGCTACCCTACAAAAATTACCCCGTGTAAATCGGTCAAGTGGTTGCCGAGATATAAGCCTCGCAAAAGCGTGACCACGGCCGGCCGGCCGGCCGGCCGGCCGGCCGCTCATACTCAGAAATTTCCGTTAATCTAAGGAAAGACTACGCTCGCTTCGCTCGCTCCGTAACCATTACCACTTACCATTGAAGTTACTTGCTATCATGTTGATTTTATACATAAGAACCTCATTCATTTTATTTGTATGACATGTTTGAATGCAATTTTCTCAATAAGTGAAGAAAAATGTTGGTAGTGCTCAACAACACATTGGTAGTGCTCAGCTGAACATTGGTAGTGCTCGGGCACTCCCAGGCCTATACAAAACGACGCCCCTGTATATATATATATATATATATATATATATATATATATATATATATATATATATATATATATATATATATATATATATATATATATATATATATATATATATATATATATATATATATATATATATATATATATATATATATATATATATATATATATATATATATATATATATATATATATCAGTATATTTCGGGAGCAGATATTGTTCTATGCACGATTCGTTAAAGTCGACGGCACACTTAGTAAGAATAGACTTCTTTGAAAGACTTTCTAGTTTCCTTACCAGTTTCCGATTCCTGTGATCAAACTCATGTAGTAAATTGCCAAATGATTCATTTTGCAACGTTTCAGTGCTCCTGGCACCATCCTCAGGCATGATTCATTTGACATATCATGTTTAAATGTACAAAACAATGCTACAAAATGTCTCTATATCTATAAGGTCGGCTCGTCTCGATATGAATACAATTCAATCGATGTACACAAGCAAGTACACTGCGCACCAATAACATGCTATATACATTCCAGCACCTGCTATCCGAAGATACGTCTATCTATGCATTTTGGTGACCCAATATGATGACTGATGAGAGCCAAACATGTTAGATAATCTGCAACAACGATCATAATTACATGGGAGCTTCAACCCCTTGATACGACGTCCGAACGTAAATTTTACGCCCGGGGTCCTAGTGGGGCGCTATCATACAAAGTCAAGTAGTTGGGTACCTTCATTTGAATGTTGATCGAGGGCTGCATCTCCCGGATAAATGTAGCTTCTGTGACCTTCAGTTTTCTTTTCTGTGGACATCGTGCCAATATCGTTGTATTTTCTACCATCATTTGCCGGGTTAGGTCTTCTTTGTGGGTAAGTCTGTGATGTTTCTCAGGCGCGCCTTCTGTCAGATGATAGGAGATTCTCCGTGACAGTGTCGTCGTTGTGAAACCAACGTAGTGTGCATCTGATCGGTGCGCACAGTCACCAGAAGTACATTTGTATTTGTACACAACGTTGGTGGCTTTCAACAGGGATGAATCTTCTGATAGGTTATTCTTCATAATCAGGCTAGAAGTTTTCGGGCTCTGGTAGAAGATGACCATTTTAAAGTACATTACAGAAAAAGTACATTTTTGTAGACTCGCAAACTATGGAGCAGCAACAAGACCTGAGGAGTCTCAGCTCAAGTTTACCTTTGAACAGAGCGAGAACAATAAGATCCCCTTCTTAGATGTGCTGGTAGATGGGTCTCGAGAGACGCTTCAGACAGAGGTATACCCAGGGGGGTTCATTCCCGTGTTAAAGGGGATATTCAAAAGTGGCAATAGGCCAACTGGCTCGCTGATTGGCTGTCAGCCTTGCCACGTCATACTATCCCCTGCTGCACATACCACTATAGAAGCCCGTGGTTACTTTTTGACCTCGTTTAAAAAATATCCTTGAGTTTGATGCAAACTTGAGGCTTTTTATGAAAGTTAGTTTTCGTTTTAAGTGACACATGTGCACGAAACTAAATATTTCACTCTAAGTTTTACAAATTTTGGGATGAACGATAACCGTACCCCTGGTGACGTCATTTGTCGTTTTCCTGATTTACACAGAAGACAGTCCCCCTAGAAAAGGCCTGAATGGCGCATGATACAACGTCGGCGCAAACTTGTTTAGCTTTTGTTGCGGGTTGTATGTTGTATTACCCACCGTGATATTGTGAAAATATATGAAGTTATTACGAAGTTCTTTTGAAAATTTACTAGGCTTCTGTGGCAGGCATCGTCAAATTGATCATCACCATAATATTGACATGTAAATGTCCTGCCATACCTTTCAATTTGGGCAAAACAGGTGAGTATCAGTACACCTACATTTGTTATGTTTATATCTTCAGAAAAATTCCATCCATATCAATCTGTACTGCGGTGTCTATTAGAAAGGGTGTTTATTTTGTTATATTCTCAAAGAAAATGTGCTTGCTGGTTATTCTGGATGGGTGTTCAAGACTAGATATAAAACTATTCTGATTCGGAGTTCACATAAGCATTTGTCAGCTAACTGTTTGTTCTTTTTTAATGAATATGTCAACAAAACAAATATAACTCATGCCAGTCCATTTAAATAGTTGGCTGGATAATTTTATACTTTCTTTGATGCTATAAAAACAAAGATACTGATGCTTTCCGAGCATCAGCTTGGTGTGCTAAGCGACTTCTCCGCAGCCCTGGTTCCTGAGCCTGTCCTGGACTCCATGCATGAGTGCTTGTTGTAGTACAAAAATGAAATTGTTAATAACTTTGTTGCCTATGCTTTATAAGTTACCATACTGAAAAGTGAAAATAGTAATGCTACCTTGCATAAGGATCAGTGAACTTTCTTTGCACCAATTTACACTGCACATGTTTGCTCATAACTGGCTCATTTTTAATTGAAATCCATAGGAAGCTTGAACAGTGAAAAAAAAATACAAAATCTTAACAAAATCTTTGGTAAATTGAGTACGCAGCATGCACCATATCTATTTTACTCTGGTTTTGTCTTTCTTAGCCATGCAACAATGATTTAAACCTGAAAGTCTTGAAACATAAAAATGTCACTGTCAGTGCGGAGACCTGATTCTTCTCCTGCTTCTTTTGTTATAGATTTGAGTCACAGCTTACGTTTATTCTGCATTTGGAACTGTCGCCGCACTTTGTGTAGGCATTATTTCAACCTTTCACTCACATATTGCCCCATCCACTAAACAAGCCATCGTATTCCCTCCAGGGGCGGATCCAGAAAAACTCCAGGGGGGGGGGGTCATGAATCGAAGTGGGGCCCCTACCTATACCCAAAATTAAAACTTAACGGATTTCGGCCACTTAATTTTGTGGGCCTATTTTTGTGGTGGGCCCTATTTTTAGTTTTTTTTTCCTGTTTTATTATTTTTCCCCTGCCCCCTGGGCCCTGACAGAACTGTGGTGCCCCTGAAAGGCCTGAAGTGTCCCTAACAGGCACGTGGTGCCCCTGACGGGCCCAAGATGCCCCTGCGAGGCCGGTGGTGCCCCTGGCTGGCCTGTGGTGCCCCTGACAGACCTCTGGTGTCCCTGACAGGCCTGTGGTGCCCCTGAAAGGACTGTGGTGACCCTGGGCCCTGACAAGCCTGAGGTGCCCCTGACAGACTTATGGTGCCCCTGACAGCCCCGTGGTGCCCTTGCTAGGCCTGTGGTGCCCCTGCTAGGCCGCTGGTGCCCCTAGGCCCTGGCAGGACTGTGGTGCCCCTGACAAACCTGAAGTGCCTCTGATAAGCCCAAGGTGCCCCTGGGCCCTGCGAAGCCGGTGGTGCCCCTGTGAGGCCGGGGGTGCCCCTGGCCCCTGCGAGGCCGTTGGGTGCCCCTGGAGGGCCTGTGGTGCCCCCGTCAGGCCTGTGGTGCCCCTAGGAATTGATAGGCCGGTGGTGGCCCTGGCAGGCCTGTGGTGCCCCCGTGGGGCACCGCAAGGGCCCCAAGGGGGGGGGGGCATGACCCATATGACCCCCTTGGATCCGCCACTGATTCCTTCTGCCTTGTTTGTGATATATGTGCTCGTGTCCCTTTCAGATCCTGCATTTCCTACATATCCAAAAGAACCAGTACCCAGTCCGCGCAGCGTAGAAGACCTGACAGATACCGGTGTCCCGTTCGCGCAGCGCAGCGCAGAAGAACCGGCAGACGCCGATGTCCGGCCCGCGCTTCAAGAACTGACAGACGGCAGATGCTGATGTCACGATGTGCCAACGGGGCAGCGCAGTAAACCCGACGGACGCCGACGTCCAGTCCGCGCAGTGTAACGCATAAGAACTGACAGACGTCGGTGTCCCGTCCGCTCAGAGCAGTGCAGAGGACCCGACAGTCGCCAGTGTCCCACTCCCGTCCACGCATTGTAGCACAAAAGAGCGGCAAGGTGGCATGACAACAACCAGTCACCGCGTCTAAATCAAGCTTGGCATGAAAAGCGCATTTACGACTGCGTCTCGCCAGATATCCTTCTGCAATCCGGCGCCAGTCCGGACAGATGAGTAGTGCGTACATCATTGTCATCGTTCGATTACTGCGTTTTTACATAATAAATTATTTTTTCCGTCACGCTCGACCTTGTCTTAATGTTTTCAGTTCAATTTGTTGTATATGTTTCTTGTTACGTGTTGGGTGGCCTATTGGGTCTTGTGAAGAAACCGAGAAGTTCCTTTGGGCTATTGAAGTGATCTTCTTTTGGTCTTTGTATTAGACGTCTAGCTCAGTTGGCCGGCTAGTTATTGTTCTTCAGTGAAGAGCTTCGAGCTTATGGACACGGCGCTGAATTTTCAATAAGCGCGAGCTGAAGCGAATCGATATAGATTAATGACAGGATTGACTGCAGCTGGTGTTGGCAGCCGCAGCCAACTGTCATTAGGCAAGGTTCAGCCAGTTGTCAAGCCTCGTCTGAATGTGTGGGCATTTTGGCTTTCAAAGCTCTCAGGAGTCCGGATTTCTTTTCAAATGGGAAGTGCCCTCTCGACAAGCTACCCATGACATGTCAATTATCAACCCTTCACCCGTCCATTCAAAACATTTGAAAAAATCCTAATAAAAGCGTCATCAAGGAAAAAGAACCACCACAAGGGGCAAAGAGCACTGCAGCTAAACTACAGACGCACCGCACATCGCTAGTAGTGCGACGGCGAGTCCATTTACCGAAAGTATCATAATGTCCGCCTGATTGTCCCAAATCCAAATGCATCATCGAAAAGACGAGACATTTTTCTTCGAAATATCTAAGAACCATTTTTCACTAAACCTATTACTTTTTCCAAAAATACGTTAAAAAGCCTGCCGCCCGCCCGGCGTAATGTATTTACGGCGGGCGCAAGGGGGCCGCTAGGGTCTTTGTGACGTCACAGTAGTTCCGCGCTCCGGCCGGTAGGTGGCGGGCCGATCGGGCCTATTGCCAGTTATGGAAACCGGAGTAGCCTACCTGAGGGCTGTTCACGGGCCCTGTGTGCGGTCGGACCGCACACAGCCTCCAAGCTCCGCCCACTGCGTCCCTACGTCAGCCTTCCGTCACCGCACACAGCGACCGCTGTGGCCGGTCGGGACCGGCCACAGCGGACCGTCCACCGCGCGCAGCCGTGACGTCAGAGCCGCCTACCCATTCCCTACCCCCACGCCTGCTGGACGCACCGCACACACCGCACGCAGCAGTGTGCGGTGCCCGTGAACACCCCTCTGGTTATATAGCCTTGGGTATACCGCAAGAAGACCGATACCGGCCTTTGTCTGAATGGGAGAAGTGAATGCCCCAATAAATATAAGGACAGCGTGATTCGTGCATACGTTCACCGCGCTCTGACTCACTGTTCGACGTGGGAACTTCTTCATCAGGAACTCGAGCGCGTGAAAAGTATCCTCTCCGACAACTCATATGACCTGTCAGACATTAACAAGGTTATTCGACAACAGCTCGACCGGTTTTTTTAAAAGAAAGAAAATGAAAAGGGCGACATGATCACATTGTATTACCAAAACTCGATGTCAAGATCTTACATCAAAGAAGAGAAGATTTTGAAGGACATAGTCATTAAGAACTGTTCAGTGCGAAAGCCGGAGGACAAGCTACAGCTGGTCATCTTCTACCAGAGCCCGAAAACTTCTAGCCTGATTATGAAGAATAACCACTGGCGGATCCAGGGGGGGGCCACCGGGGCCATGGCCCCCCCCAAAAGCCTGAAAGGGGGGGCCAACATATCTTTTGGCCCCCCCCAAAACGCTTGAAGAAAAATTAATGTGAGATGGTTGCGTAGTAGATACCTACTAGAATCAGCAGCGTGATTCAATAGCGTAGAGAAAGTCAGGGATGCGGGAACTACTTTCAGACTGGGGGGGGGGCACACCATAATAGAGATCAACCTAGGGTCCCCCCAAATCTAGTTTCTCACCGGTTTTAGGCCACTTATTTTTCATCTCTTGGCTTTTTCAACAAAAAAAAGAAAACATTTGCAAAAAGGGCGGTATTCCGTCTGAAAGTTGTGGTGGCACCGCCCCCCACTGGTGGATTCAGGGAGGGGGCCACCGGGGCCATGGCCCCCCAAAAGCCTGAAAGGGGGGCCAACATATCTTTTGGCCCCCCTCCCAAAACGCTTGAAGAAAAATTAATGTGAGAAGGTTGCGTAGTAGATACCTAAAAGTTAGAATCACCGGCGTGATTCAATAGCGTAGAGAAACACAGGGGTGCGGGAACTACTTTCAGACTGGGGGGGGGGGGGGCACACCATAATAGAGATCAACCTAGGGTCTCCCCAAATATAGTTTTCTCACCGGTGGTTTTAGGCCACTTATTTTTCATCCCTTGGCTTTTTTCAACAAAAAAAGAAAACATTTGCAAAAAATGGGGCATTCCGTCTGAAAGTTGTGGGGGCACCGCCCCCACGGCCCCATAGTTGGGGGGCATGGGCAAGCTGTCCCTACTGCCCCGGTTCCCGTGCCTATGGAGAAACCACCGGGTTTACTAGCTTCCTTCATAAAGTGTCGTCATGTCTTGTCGTCACCCGAGAAGGTCTTATTGCATACATATATCGATTGAACTGTCAAGTTAACAAACTTGCTCTGGCAGCCTGACCTGACATGACCCGGCAATTTTTCATTCACGGAATATGCGCAATAATTTTTTTTAGGAACACTCACTGAGTTGGCGTTGAAAAGCTTGTTTTGTTTGGTAATTGTACAAGAAGCATATCAGGGACCTTTTTGTCCCTTCCCGTGAAACGGTAAAAGACTTATTTCGGTCAGAGCTCTCAGCTCAGGCCAATCTCTAAGGGGTCAGTCGGGTCACTTATTTCTTAAAAGGGTCCTTACGGCATCCAAGGACCAATTCCGGCTTTTGAGTGCACCACATCAGCATTTGATGCTGCGACAGATGGTGAAATATGAATATATGTTACAGGCCGTATGAAAATTGTCCGTTTGCAAACGGCCTGGCCCAGTCAGGGCATATGAAACAGCCTGAAAACACCGGCCGTTTGCAAACCATGACCTGAAATATCAGACCGTTTGAAAACGGCCTAGTTAGTTTCGGCCTAGCGGATCCAGGGGGGCCACGGGGTAATGCTCCCAAGCCTGAAAGGGGGCAACATGTATTTTGGCCCCCCAAAACACTTAAGAAATATGAATGTGAGAAAGTAGCGTAGTAGGTAGAAACTACCGTATCATTAAAAATATGTGAGCTTGAGTGTTGGTCTCGTCTTCACCCAAGAAGTTCTTATTGCATACTTTACCTCTCGATCGACGCGTGAAGTTATCGTGTAAGTTATCATGAATCCGATCGCGACGAAACTTTAGCACCCTCATGTTGACAAAGTCTGAAAATTTCATGACCCTGACCCAAGTGACCTTTGACCTGTGGCCTATTTCTCGAGATATGTTTGGTCATGTTTGAGGCCATGTTTGGCCGGAATCGCGATTCCGCGTATGTCGGCTCACATTATCCGCTCGTTTACAGTCTTTTCGTGGTTTAAAACGCTCAAACATGTGAAATGATGCTGGTCCCAACCATTGTGGTAGGTGTCAATGTCACCTTAGGGTCAAGTCAGGTCATTGACCTTTGATGACCTCGGTGCACTTTTCCGAGTTTAACATGTTTCTAGGATAGTTTCGTTTAGCTGATTTTGAATTTAGCATTTAGCAACCATTTGAACATTTACGAAGTAGTTTTGATGCCTTCGTATCATGTTACGTAGCTGCCAGTGGTAGTCGGACACCTGCTACACGGACGCCCATAAGTACTGGTTGACCTGGTTGACCTGACCTGGCCTGCCCCGACATGGCCTAAAGGCATGAAGACATCATCTATGATCCAAACTAACATGAAATTCGTGATCAGCACAAAAAAAAATCTATTACAGCCTTACTTTAGGAGGTTCTGACAGGCCCTGATTTTCCCGTCTTTTGGGTCTGTGACCTGACCTGGGCGGTGTTTCACGGCACGCTGCCAGCGCTGTTGGCACTTTTGGTTTCCATGGAGACATCAACTAGCCTATACCTACAACACTACCGAAGGTTGACCTTAGCTCGCGGAATGCGCTGGCAGCGGCTGGCAGCGCGACCGTGAAACACCGCCCTGGAAGGTCAACCAATGACCAAGGACCTTAAAATCGGGTATCATCGGCTTCCTCTCGTCACTGACAGGCAACACACTCGTTTTTTCCGCGAGCTCTAGCTTGATCAGGGGCCAAACGGCAGAGAGGTTCAACCGACACCTCCCAGCCCGCGAAGGCTGCGCCAAGCACCGACCCGGAGCGGTGGTCGACAAAAGCAATTTGAAGTGTTTTCAAAGTAATATTAAGGCACGGGTTGAGTGGGCTACCATTTCTCTCTCTATTTTTTTTTTTTTAGTTTAAAAAAAATTATCGTTTCAGGGCTGTGACGAAAAATAAGTGGCCTAAATCCGATGAGAAAACAGGATTTGGGGGTACCCTAGGTTTGGCTCCTTGCACGAGTTGGCCCCCCCCAAAACGCAAGTCTGGATCCGCCAGTGAGAATAACCTATCAGAAGATTCATCCCTGTTGAAAGCCACCAACGTTGTGTACAAATACAAATGTACTTCTGGTGACTGTGCGCACCGATCAGATGCACACTACGTTGGTTTCACAACGACGACACTGTCACGGAGAATCTCCTATCATCTGACAGAAGGCGCGCCCGAGAAACATCACAGACTTACCCACAAAGAAGACCTAACCCGGCAAAAGATGGTAGAAAATACAACGATATTGGCACGATGTCCACAGAAAAGAAAACTGAAGGTCACAGAAGCTACATTTATCCGGGAGATGCAGCCCTCGATCAACATTCAAATGAAGGTACCCAACCAGTGGCGCAGCCAGGATTTGGTTTCGGGGGGGGGGGGGCGGGTCATCGCCTCCAAAGCGGGCCCCCTAGTGTGCGGGCCCCCACCCATTTTTCAGAATTTTTCCATATTTCATACGCATTCTGCTGAGCGGGCCCCCTTTACCTACACGATAACCCTAAGCGAGTTTGAATCGGAAAATTTTGATAGAGCAATAGCTCGGTAATCACCCGACCGGTGTTCAATTTCTACGCGAATTGACCATGACAGAAATGTTACCATGAGGTACGAATTCGTATCTTTCGAGGCCGAAATGTGCCCCTTCCGCAATATGCATAGCATATACGCTAACAGAGCTGTTGCCTGCTTCTATCGGACAATATTTAAGTAGTCCCATGTGCCTGTCCTAACTCCTAAGTCATCTATTGGCTGCTGTAGTAGATTGTATCGACAGAAATATGTTACTACCAGTAAAACGCCTTTTGGGCGAAGAACGAGCGAGCGAGATAGTGAGCCCTGCACGTGCGGAAGGGCGAGAGGGTACTTCCAACAGGCTTGTGCATTTGCAAAGCACCCTTCTAACCGGTCGCTAGCGGTGCGCCAAATTTGAACGCGATCGGCCCAGCCGTTCCTGAGATCAGGAAGCGGCATTCTGCACGTGCGCACGTGCGAACGGGGTCCAAACTGACTTTTGCACGGCACCCTACTAACCGGTCCCCAACCGTGTACCAAATTTGAGCGCAATCGGCCCAGCCGTTCTCGAGATCTGGAAGCACCCCGCTGCACGTGCGCACGTGCAGTAGCACCCTAACCGCAACACATGGGATCGCATTGCCTGTTGGGTGCCTACCTGTATGCCAAGTTTCAGCGAAATCGCCCCAGTAATTACCGAGTTATTGAAATGGGAACAAATTTGGCACCTCTTGTTTTTGTATTTTGCACGTGCAGTGGGGGTCACTCACATAGATCAACAGTACCCGACCTTTGGTAGAAGGGATGCAGCTACCCTACAAAAATTACAGCGAAACAATCGCCCAAGCGGCCCAGTTCTCCCGGGGCCCCGGACCCATCCACGGGAAGCCCGGGCCCTATCTACAAAGGGGGGCCCGGCCCCGTTCTCCCAGGGGCCCGGGCCAGTTCTCCCGGGGGCCCGGGCCCGTTCTCCCGGGGGCCGGGGCCCCATCCAACCGGGGATCCGGGCCCCGTCCACCCGGGGCCCGGGGTCCGTTCTCCAGGGGCCCGGACCCATCCACGGAGCCCGGGCCCCATCCACCCAGGGGGTCCGGGCCCGTTCTCCCAGGGTCCCGAGCCAGTTCTCCCGGGGGCCCGGGCCCCATCCAACGGGGGGGTCCGGGCCTCGTCCATCCGGGGCCCGTTCTCCCGGGGTTCCGGACCCATACACGGGGGGCCCGGGCCCCATCCACACAGGGGCCCGGGCCCGTTCTCCCAGGGGCCCGGGCCAGTTCTCCCGGGGGCCCGGGCCCGTTCTCCGGGAGGCCCGGGCCCGTTCTCCCGGGGGCCGGGGCCCCATCCAAGCGGGGTCCGGGCCCCGTCCACCCGGGGCCCGGGGCCCGTTCGCCCGGG